CTGTAGTGGCGACCCGGGACCATGGAGATATAGACAGCTTTTTATAAGGTAAAAATAATAAAACAAGGTCTTTGTCTGCAATGATCAGACATGTTTTTTATTATTGCCGTTAGTGATTATCTTAATTTGGGCTAAAAGAATTGACAGAATCCTACACACTGTGCCTTTAAAAACATTGTTCTCTTTGAAATCTGCTTCAGCAAACTGTTTTAGATGTTAGCTACCATTTAGCTACTTTAGTTTTACACTAACCTGTTGCTATTTCTATCAAGCATTTTTATTGTTAGCTTTTATCCAGCCTTTATCTGCTTTTGACATTTAAATGAAATATTGCAACTTTTTAGAATTAGATAAATTTTTGTTGCTTTTAGCTGGTATTTAGCTAGTTTTAGCTTTTAGCTTGTATTTAGCTTCTTTTAGTTTTAGCAGGCATGTTAGATTTTGTAGCATTTAGCTGGCATTGTCCTTTCAGTTTTAGCTATTCTAGTTTTTAACTTGCGTGTTGCAACCTCTATCAAGCCTTTGCTATTTTTTTAACTTTATTTATTATGCTACTTTTTGGTTTTAGGTGAATTTTTTTTTGCTTTTAGCTAGTATTTAGCTAGTTTTAGCTTGTATTTAGCTTTTAGTTTTAGCAGGCATGTAAGATTTTGTTGCATTTAGCTGGCATTTTCCTTCAATCAGTTTTAGATACTCTAGTTTTTAACTAGCATGTTGCTATCTCTATCAAGCCTTTGCTATGTTTTTTATTATTTATTGTGCTACTTTTTGGTTTTAGGTTAGATTGTGTTGCTTTTAGCTGGCATTTAGCTAATTTTAGCCGTTAGCTTGCTTTGTGTTTCTTTTAATTTTGGCTGTAAGGTGCAAATTTTATGATTTTAGCTGGCATTTAGCTAGTTCAGCTGTTGGCATGCATTTAGCTTTTTTCAGTGTTAGCTGGCCTTTTTCTACTTTTGTTTTTAATACATCCTTGTGTTTCTTTTAGTTAGCCATTTAGATTTTTTTAACTGAAACGTTGCCGTTTATAACTCTGTACTACTTTCAGCATACTAATATCTCCTCTAGCTTCTAGCAAGCCTTATGTTGCCCCTGTTAACAATAAGTGTTAATTAGGTGTCAACGATAGCCATGTGATGTGATGTGAGTATCAGTCACTTGGAGGCAGGGCTTAAAAGCCTGAATTTTGCCTGAAACTCTCAGACTGAAGAAGTCTCTTGGAGMAGAGACGAAACGTTTCATTAGAGAAGAATCAGTCCAGAAGACCTATACAATTTTTTTTTCTTTTTGTTGCTTAGCTCAATTTCAACTTCTTTAAACAAGTTTCTTTTCTGTTGTTCTCATTAGTATGAAGCCCGGCTGTGTGCTGCTCGATGTAGTTTGTTATAGTTTGATGCTAAATATTTAAAATCCAAAACAGACTCAAGTTGCAACTCAAGAATCCAGAGTTTCCTTCCTTGGTTTTTTTTTACCACCTCTGAGCTCAGGCGGCCATCCGAGTGCTGAACCGAATTTCAAACAGAATGGAAAAACTGGCCGAGGGGATCTTCCAACACAAACGATTGTTACGTTAGGTTGGCTTTTTTATTTATTTATTCATTTTTAATAGACGTGCCTCCAAACTGGGTTAAGGTTTTTTCCAAATGTGGTTCATATCCCAGTGATCACATACTGGCATGTGAGTCTAAACACATTGTTCCTGCTCAGCAGGTGCCAGAGAGATTTTCTGCTTTCTTCACATAACAGACAAGTGGAACCATGTCAAGCGTGTTTCCTGCTCTCAAGTCTAATTTTACCAGAATTTGTTTGTTGTAATAATAAAGTTTGAAAGTGAGATGCAAACCACAAGCGGAATGAATGTTTATATTGTTTTTTTGTTGCATTAGGCTCAGAATCAAGTTTTGGGATTGGGTCTTTTGAAAGACGACAAGTTACTGCAGAGATGGAATGAACCTTGATTGGCATGCAGCTAAGGCTCCTGGGATGGTGGCTCTAGACTTCAGGCCAACTGCATCTCGCAAGCATACGGTTGTGTAACATGTTGGGCTTGGATAGACGAGCAGATGAAGAACTCTTAAGCCTGGTTTTTACTCGAAGCACCACTGTGTCTTGCTAAGGTGGTTTCACGACTAAAATGGTCTTTTTCTTCTTGCTGAAGCCCCGTCTTACGCGTAGACCCCAGACAGCTGCTTTCTTGTAGGGTATGCGTCAAGTATCGTGATTGGTTTGTGGGCGTGTTCGAGCAAAACTTCTACAGGAATCAAAATAACATCAAATAACCATTAGCTCATCGGTCTAATCAGAAATAAATGGTATTTCTCCAAACAGAAGCCATCCAAAAAGCTATCTACAACAGGTAAGGGTCTTTCCAGAGAACCTCACTTCAGAAGATTGAAACTCTCGCTTAAACACTTTGAACTAGGGTTGGGCGATATTGGCAAAAAAATTAATCACGATTAACTGTGGTATTTAGCCAATAACGATTAATTTGGCAATTAATCC